AGTTCGGACTCCTACACGTCAAGAACTTCACCAAAGGTGGTCCCTATGAGGTGTATACGGGACAGGGAGGCACCAAGTTTCTCAAGTTTGTCACTTATAAAGATAAAAGGTTAGTAGTGTTCAGGCAATCATTTATCCATTTATAACTTACCTTTATATCGATGTCTTAAACCAATTATTTTATTTGTTTAAACTTTTTTTATGAACTTATTTATTGATATAAAATATGGAAATATATGTGAATATAATTTGAATGCCAACCCCACCCCACCCCACAGGACACTGGACTTTTACAAAGACCCGAAATGCAATCTACTGAATGGGACGGACGGCACAAGTATGGGCTCATTCCTCACCAAAGACGATGTCCTCTACGTATTCAATGGGGACGCCTGCAGGTGAGTGTCTGCCATACCTTTCCATTAAAGCCATATTCAACACTATACTAAACCCTACGACAACTCAATCTACAGATCCATTTACGCCAGATATAAGGGCCCGTCGAGTGTGAAGGGTATACCCGCCTGGCGTTTCGTACTGCCGGCCGATCTGTTCGCCTCACCCAAGAAAAACCCGGCCAACCGGTGCTTCTGTACGACCCCTAAGGACCCGGATATGTGCGATGGTATCTTCGACGTGGGCCCGTGTCAGTCGGGCGCACCCCTCGCCTACTCCTTCCCCCATCTCATGCACGCCGGGCCTAAGGTCAGGGCCAACGTGGAGGGCATGCGTCCCGACCCCGACAAACACGAGACCTTTTTCGATGTCGAACCGGTAGTTAACTATACTTTTTGGGTACTCTTGTCAATTGTTTTGCATTTATATGTGTCTAGTATTTAGATAGTAGTTATGGTTTAAGTTGTTTAGGTTTTATATGAACTAAAATGCAATTTTAATGGCAGATATTAATTGCAAAATAAGTATTGGGATTAAAAGTAGCAAAAAAGTAAAAAATGTAGTACAAAAAAAGTCTACGACACCCGGTATTCCCAGGTGGTCTCCCTCCCAAGTACTAACCGGGCTCGACGCTGCTTAACTTCGGGGATCGAACGAGAACCGGTGCTTTC